CACCTGGTTTCATATGTTGTTCCTGGTGTCGAAATGTGTTATGTTTTCATCACTTCTACGTAAACTATCATTATCATTGAACTTGTGTTTTTTTCGCATATGTGACCTAAAATATTGTTTCATTTTGTGTTTTTGGTATATTAAGAAGCTTATTGTTGTTGGAGTTCTAGTTTTCATAATCTGGATTAGTTGAAGATGAAAAAGTTGAACACTTCAATGGCTGTAATTGAATCATTTTTTCTGACATACTTGAAGTTTCACAGTAATAAGATAAAATATGACCACCAATTTAAAAATTTGAAATATACTTTTTTTATCGCATAGTTTTGGTTATTACTCGAGAATGACGAGTCATGGGGACGAACGCTTCTAGCGTTTTCTTAGTCCCACTGGGACCTACCTATAACCAAAAGCTCGGAGTCAGTTGAATATGTTCCCTCGTAAGATCATTTCTAATATATACCACTTAACTAAACAAAATTGTAGAATTCACTTGATATATGAAAGCAGAGACTCCCTTATATAGATCGATATCCTTAAAGACGGTGAATGAAATCTGGACAAAATTGTATTTCCAGATTTTTGATTTTGTTTTTGAAAATTTATAAAAATAGAAATATCTAATTAATTAATTGATTAGCTGATTCATCCGTCAGAATATATTCTAATTCATGAATCTGATTACGTGGAACATATTGCTGTATAAGGAAAACGAATCATTTAACGTAGGATGAACCTCGGGAGCATATTAGAAATTTAGTTGAAATATTAATGAAAACTTTTTTAAAAGAGACATGTATTTGTAAAAATGAACGACAAAAGTTTATTGAACGATTATTCAAAGTCTAGATTTCATCGCTATTCGATTTTTTTCAAGGAATATGAGAAAAACTTGAACGACCATGGAGGAGAAGAGAGTGATGATATTATTTCTTCTACAGAGCCTTAATCATTTCACTGAATCGCGCACATAGTTTACGGAGTATTTCTAATATGTGCCAGTAGGGTGTGGGTGTCGGTGAGTGTGGATGTAGGTATGGGTGTGAATGTATCCTTCTTGTTCATAAAAACTACACCCACACCCTCAAGTCGTATTACGTGCTAGCAGAGCTTCTGCTAAATTAAAATTGGTGAAGTATCGATCATAAGTGATGTTGCGACCTTCTTGTACATTACTGGTTAATTGATCTATTAATTGTAGAACAACACTTGTGGCAAGACTTCGTTGAATTACATCCCCTACTTTTCCAGAATACGAAGTCAAAACTAAAACATATCGACTTTCAGCTTCACACAATAACAGAAATTTTAATTAATTTTTTTGCCGGCTTTTTAGGCATGTATTGTATAAAAGAGCAGTGACCTCTAAAAGGAACTAATTGTTCATCAATAGTTAATTTCCCACTTGGTGTAAATTTTCGAAGAAGTTGCTTGACAAAACGTTCAAATATAAATCAGATTGGAGCAAGACGATCGGTTTTGTCACGACGTTGACGATCATAAAATCGAAGAAATTTTAAAAGATTTCTGAAACAGTGTAATGGCATTGTTGCATGATATATTAGAAGGCTATCAATAATATTACATAAATTTGTAACCGATTCATGATTATTATGGACAATACCAGATTGCATTAATAATCTTAAAATTGCTTCTAATTGAATACGATCAACATCTTCGCCTTCATTATATTGATGGCAGGTAAGCGACCATGAGCTACAGTTGTTTGAGTTGTACATAAAACACCATTTTTTCGATTGATCTTGGTTGATTGTGGATATCTATATCATCATCAGTACTGTTAGTATCGGATGAATCATATTATTTTGAAATATGTTCATCAGTGGATGTGTCATCAGATTGTTTCAGTAACTGAGTAATCCGTGTCAGAATTCGACTCGTCATGCTCCAAGTATTTTTGTGAAATTCATTTGTATTATTCGTGATAAGAACTTCTCGAATTCTTTTTAGATTTGGTTTACTTGTCATTTTTTATCTAAAATATGAGAGAACTGTTAGAACACAAAGCCTTGACAGCTCTGAAAGTTTTCAGATTTGACTTGTTTTCATGAAGAAAATCTGAGAGCGATCATCATGACTAGAAACATTCGCAAGAATATTTTGATCAAAAAGTAATAAAATCTTTGATTCACAGATGAAAACAATATTCCAATGACTATTGGATGTAAGTAATTAGCGAATCGTTTGGAAAATAAAATCTAGAAATGACAGATAGCAGGTTTCAAAAGAGTGAAAAGCATGTGTAATACGAAAGGCGAAAGTGAGTTCATGCAGACCTACCTTTTAATTTTTGTTTTTTTAAGACCTGCACGCATTACACAATATGCCTTCTATATATCATTAGTAGACTATCAATTAGAAAAATATTGACTAGAAAAGAAAAGAGATTTAGGTAACAGCAAACGAAAAGTAGTCATGTGGGTCCGGCTAGATCTACGTTGTCCTTCAGAGCGTTAAACAATGCATTCTGTCTCATCATTATCAAACCAAATTTTCTGCTGACCACCAAGATTATTCCATTATGAATATGATTCTATTCGACGAGATGAAATTATGAAAAGATTGTCATCCTTGCTTTTAGATATGTACAAATGTTTCTCTGGTCAACGGATAATTGAAGAATAAGTGATTTCATAAACAGGAGTTCAGCAAAGTAAAACCATGAAGCTCAACAATATGCATGATTCCTGCTCATCATCTACGAAAATGATCATCCCCTCGATTAGCCATATTTCCCAAGATTAGATGGTTCATTCATATCAACAGATTTCTCCTAAGACTTCTCATTTCAGACGCTAGATTTAATGTCACGTACAAAGTGTAAACTGCCAAGGTAAATTCAATCTTCTAAACATAATACTATCGCAATCCTCCTCTTTTATCCTTTGCTTACTGTTCCCATACTATTTGTTATTCATTAAGGGAACGAAACAGAGATGACAATGCCTGTGACTATACACAGAAATTTAATCGAAGCAACATTTTCA